GCGATCTACAACATCCCCAATTTGTAAAACATAAGCAATTTTAAAATCAAGCAACCCCGCTTTACAAGGGGAAAGAGGCCCTGAGTGGTGAATTGGTTTCTAAGATGGATATCTATTTGCAATTTAAATTTGATGCTAGGAACAGTTGGCAACAAGGGCTTGGAGCAAGTCAGTTAAACACCAGACTTTCTTTCTGTCCTATTTTATCCTCCAATCATGTTTATACTTGAGTGAAGTACATGAGGACTGGGGCGAAGAATGGGCTTTAAAAAAAGGTTGCACGGTCTTGTGCGAATATGTGTGTTTCTTACAGAGTGCCTGGACTGCAAGTGCCCAAGGTCATTTCCTTTCTCATCCACCTGGACTCATCCACTGAAAGGTGCACCTCACATTCTCAGCTGATGGCAGTAGTTGCCAGCCCACGGATCTGAGGGTCAGAGCTAGTCCTTCCTTGTCTATTACCTTCCCAGACAGTGTCTGATGTTTGGGGGGCACCAGGACCCTGACCATGGTGTACTGGACGGCATCAGTTCTGACCAGTCAGATGTCCATTCTCGCAGGTCAGTGCCCGAGAGGGACCAGTTGTTAAGCATCTTTAACTATCACCTAGTCCAGGTTCCTGGATACCCAATCTTGTGGTGTGTAGAAGTGAGGAAGTCGCATTCAACTGACATCAGAATCAGGGTTGCAATGGAATGGGAGTTTTCTCTCCTTCAGAAGCTTTAGCCCAAGGCCCCACCTGTAAGTCTGGGATGCTCAGGCCCATGGCCAGTGAGCTTGTCTGGCAAACCAGGGTATAGCATCACACTGAACTTTGACTGGACCAGAGGGGCACTTTGGGGAGACGAGCCCCGAGTCCTTCTCCAATCCTCATTACTCACCTTCCCTCCTTCTAAACCGCTGAGGGCAGGGGAGCAGGTAACTACTAAGTCAGACCAGGCTCTTAGGAAAACTGGGCCTTTGAAAGGATGCGGGGGGATGAGTTAGGAAGGCTAGTTCTGAGACCTATTATGTAATGTTACTGCAGGGGGCAAAGAATTCGAAGGACAGGGCAGTCTAGCACGGCAGTCAAGACAGGGGCTTTGGCTTCTCTTAGAATTAGGGTCATTTGCTTTATCACAAGCAAGTTATACAACCTCTCTGAGCCTCAGTTTCCTCACTGATGAGGTAAAGATAGCCACCCTACCTAGCTTCAAGAGGTTTGGTGAGGACTGAGTGAGCTAGTGCTTTAAAGCAGTAAGCACGGTGTCTGGCAGTATTTGTGCTCAACAAATAGTAGCTTTTGGTGCCACTAGTAGGTGACCATTGGGTTGCCGGGAGGATGACATGTGTTAGTGTCTATAAAGCACTTGGAATAGCCCTTGGTTCACAGCAAGCACTCAATAAATAAATGAATGTTAATGACCACCATCATCTTCACCTTCACCATTGCCATGATTTCTGTTATTACTAGCTACATCCTCTTTAACAAGAGTTCTGTAACTATTTTACGATTAGAGACCTCATTTGGGGACTAGGGCATTGGGTTATAAGTGAGGAGACCTGTGCAGGCTTGCCCTGTCCCTAACCAGCCAGGGTGTGATCTTGGATAAGAGGTGCTACTTCTCAGCGTCAAATTTATCCTAATTGTAAAAAGAGAGGAGGTTTTTTAGGGGGAGCCCTGCACTCCTTTCCCACCCTAAGGCTTTGTGAGTGTCAGCCTTCCCTAAGGATGCCGTGTATGCTCATCACTGGGCCAGACCCCAGAAAGATATTTAGCCAGTAGATGTTTACTGAATGCCTTCTGTGTGTCAGGTTCTGAAGGCATCACGGTGGGCAAGACAGCCATGCCCATAACTCTCTCTTGAAGGTTACACTCAAGACTAAAGCCCAGGGGATAATCAGAAAAAGAGTTTTAGCTTACGACTTGGTCCAACTGACTCTAAATTTGGGGTGCTGCATGAGTTGATGGGGGCTGTTTTACCAAAGCTCCACCCAATCTCTGATTTAGAATTTGAATTCACTCTTTGAATGCTTTGAAGAGCATTTTACATTTTTTTTTTTCTCATTCAGCCCTAGGGAGACATTTCCCCAAGCAAGCAATTTAGAAACAGAACTTTGAAAATCATCGCTTAGGAAGAGACGTGTCTCTAGGGAAATAGCCCCTGGAAGAAAACCCCTGCCCTTCATAACCCATTATATGATTCCTTGGGCAGGACAGAACTTCTGAGATCACCACAGCAAAAGCCTTATTTTATAATAAAAGGAATCAAGAGTTGAGCAAAAATATATCTCAGTTTTGTTCCTCTAGACGATACACATGAAATTGTCTTTCCTCTTTTACTTCTCATGTGTTAATCCTTGGAAAATTTACTTCAAGAAGAGATTTTTCCTTCTTTCCTTCCTTCCTTCCTTCCTTCCTAAAAGATCACAGGGTGCCACCATTGCCTTCCAGAAACAGCCATCCTTTCACAGAATTGTCTTCTCCCAGGGAGTGGTACTGGCAGGTAATTTGTAATCTTCCCTAGCACAGGTCAATATCAAGTAGGGGAAGGGTGGGCAGGGCTGGTGCAATAGCACCGTGGTCTCGAGGATGATCCCAGGTCTCCCGGAAAGGCAAAGCATAGGGGGAGGAAGATGAGTCCTGCTCCTGGCGCCGCCTCACTGGCCACTGTGCTAGGGCACTGAGCCCCCGCTGGCTGCTCAAAGCTGGGGTGCTTCCAAGGATTAAATAAGTGACTGAGCTTGAAACTTGGCTTGAAAAACAGATATAGGGGGCTGCGGGGATTCCGGTCCTCTGTTTCATGTCCTTCCTCCCCCAGTTATGGCAAATCCCAGATGAGTTAACAGTGTGTGGGGAAGACTGGGGGTGGGGCTGGAGGAGGGGCTGCAGGAGAGGGGTCTCAGGCCTGGGTCAGGACTGGTCAAGTCAGGGGTCAGCCTGCGGACAGGGGCAACAGAAGGGGGGATAATGTCACACCAGATGACACAAAATTGTTAGACAATTTTCCCCAGTGTGGGTCCAAGCAGGACCCCCCCCCCACACACACAATGAAACACATCCATAGCACAAGAGCCCTGGGATTTAAATATATATGTAAGTGCCCTTCTTAGCTCAGGCCTTGCAGCTTATTTCTGGATACCGTTAGAACAACCTAACGTGGGGAGTAAGGGCTTTACAACACATTTGGCAGGGAAGTGTAGCATTATGTGCAAAGTGATTTGTTGATTGCATTTTAAAACTTAAAAGTCACTGGCCTATAGAAGAAACTCGGTAAAAGTTCAGTGAATGGACAAGCGAGGGATGCCTGAATGGGTGCAGCTCTTACGTTTTCATAGCAGAACAATGGGCAGCTGCTGGTTCTTCCCTCACACGTCAAGGTCAGCAAGTGGTCTGGGCCAGGCAGAGCCCACATCTGGGAGAAGAGTGTGGGAGCCGAGAGGAAGACCCTCCCCACCGCGTCCTCCATCACCTCAAGCCTTGTCTTGCCTGATTTCCTTTCCAATCCACGTTTTTGAGGCGAACAGCTACAGAACGTAGCGTTTCTCTATCTCCGCGTGGGAGCATGTCGTGTATTAACTGAACACTATTTGTGAAAGTTTTCTGAGCTCTTGGGGAAACCGAGAATGAGGAGGAGGGAGAGGCAGAGAAACGTTTGGTGCTTGAAGAGCACTGGAGTTCACAGAAGGAATTCTGCGGTGGCCAAGATGGGAAGGGGCAAGGAGAAAAGGAGAGAGCAGGTAGTGGCGCCTGCCCCAGGTTTGAGTCCTTAGGGCCTTGGCATCCTGGATCAGGACTGGCCTTTCTCTTCTGAGGGATCTGTCAGCTTAGCGAGCCCTCAACTAGCGCTGATAGTGAATGAAATAACAGATGGGACAAAGGAGGGGCGCACGCGGTGCGGGACTAGCCCCACGGAGGAAGGGACTTTCTGCCCACTCTGCGACCTCACTTTCTCTCTGACCAGGGCCAGGAGGCTCTCCAAAGGGCCCCTCAGAACCCTGGCTGCACACTCCCCCCACCTGCCTACAGCGGGTTGGTGGCTGTTTGTAGCGCCGAAGCGGAGAGGGGCCGGCCCAGGGGCGGGGCGCGACTCTCAGCCTCCAGGACCCACAGCAGGTGCGTCCCGCGCCGCAAGCGCGCACTCTTGGAAGTCCGGCGGCAGGGCAGGGGCTCGCGGTTCCCCCGCTGCCCCCGGAGCGATCGGGAGAAAAGCGAGGGCTAGAACGCGTGCTAGGCACCCTTCTCCCCAGCCCCCGAAGACGAGAGGGCGGTGGTACAGACTTTCCCGAAAGGTCTCCATCGCGGCGCTGCGAGCGCACAGGAACCCGGGGGCATAAGGGGAGCCGGGGGATTAGCTGAGCGCCCAAAGCCAGGTGAAGGTGGGGAAGGGATCTCAGCTAACCCCCACGCGCTCCGCCTCTAGCGGTGTCAGCCCACACCCCTGTGCAGGGCTCCCGGGCCGGCGGGAGGCGCGTGTGCGTGTCTGTAGGTACTGGGGACACTCGCCTTCCCGGGAGCCCGTGAAGAGCCCCCGCCCTCCGCCCCGGCCCGGGGATCCCCTCCCCCAGCAGAGAGATCCCCGCGCGCCCCCTGCCCACTTTGCTCAAGCGAGAAAGCGGCCGAGCAGGAGACAAAGAAACTCCTGCCTCCTCCACTCTCGGCCCCTCCGCCCGCCCCAGACACTCCCGGGCGCCCTCCCTCGACCCCGGCGACAACGCGCGCGGACATGCAGAGGAAAGGAGGCAGGGTGGGCGAGTCCGCTCCCCGACGCGGACCAGCTGGAGGCTGGCAGTGCTCCCTGCCCGGGGACTCCCAGCGGCAGCCGCGCCCCCACCCTCCGCTCCCCAAACAGTCCCGGGCTCCCTGCACAGCCACCCCCGGCCCAAATCGTCCCCCGGCTCTCCCGCGGAGCGACAGGGGGGCGCGGCGCACACAAAGCGGGCGTGAGGGAGGATGCGGAGTACCGGGGTGGTAAGAGATCCCGCCAGGGCTCGGCACGGGCCCAGGCGCAGCTATTTACCCGATTTCTTCTTCGATCTCCGAGATGTCTGCGAAGATGAGGAAGACCACGAGCAGCGTGAGCGCAGCCAGCATCCAGCTCCGGAACTGCAGCTGCATGGTGGGTTCGCGCCCACCGGGACCCGCGCGGGCCGGCGCAAGGAGCTGGGGCTGGAGGGCGCAGCGGCAGGCGCGGGAGCCTCCGCGCGCGGCGCCCAGCGGGGCAGACACCCTGCGCTCCGGGCGAGTCCGGGCCGGCGGCGGCGGCGGCGGCGACGACAGCGGCAGACAAGGGTTGCTGAGGCGCGGCGAGCCGACTCGCTCCCTCTCAGCTCCCGTCCGCCCCTCCTCTCTACTCCCCTCCCCTCCCTTCCCCCGCCCCGCGCGGGCCTCCGCGCGCAGTTTGACAGCTTCGCTCAGCTCCTCTGCCCTCCTCCTCCCACCCCAGTCAACTCCAGTGTCCAGCCTCCCGCCTTTGCTTCTCCCGCCCGGCTTCTTTCAGCTCCCGAGGGCACTGGGATGTGGCCGGAGCCTGCCACTCCCCGCTTAAGGAGGCTGGGCTCGGGGCACCGGGTGCGTCCGCGTACAGAGCTGAGCCCAGGGAAGAGCGCGCACCGCCCGGCGTACCCCGCCGGCTGGCAAACGCCCTCCCTCGCTCGCTCTTTGTCCAGAGCCCTCGGTTTCTCACAAAGTTTTCCCGACACAAAGACTAACACCTGGGGACAGCCCCCGCGCGCGACGAGGAGGCCGTTTCAGCCAGTCAGAGGTTTCAGCAGTTGACGAATTAGGAGGGGTGGTGGAGGAAGGGGAGGGGAGAAGAAATATCCAGGACAGGCCAACTTCGGCAGAGATGCAGATTGCAATTTGTGGGCGAGGTGCTCGACCGCCGAGAAACCACCGCCTTCAGGCGGTCATCTTGGTCTCCATTGATAGACCCAAGGAGACCGGGTCCAGAGAGTCCCCTGAGTTGACTGAGCTCTTGCAGCCTTGCCTAGAACCCTGGCTCCTGCTGGAGTGACTGCTCTACCCACAATGGCAGACTCAGTGCCCGCCCTGCCTGGGCCCTCGCGGTGCTAATTCTGAGCTGGGCTTCATCTTAACAGCTCTTGCCCTCTCCTGGCAAAATCAATAATCCCCGCCCCGGAGTCTTATCTTGATCTAAAGGCCTGCTAGAAAATATGGCTCCCACAAGGGGTAATGCCCCCTGTGCTGAATATTTTATGCTTCCCCAACCTTAGACAGCTTAACTTAAATTACATTTTGCACCAACCATTAGCCTGGGGTGGGAAGGGCCCCATTAAGTTTTACTGGAATTAGATAATTACCCAAATTTTCTTTTTCTTGCACTAATTGTAACAATCCTGAAATCGGAAACTTCCCAGAGATGACAAGCTGGTTATGAAAGTGAGAAGCTATATGGAATGTCCTCTCTGTAAAGCCCTGGTGAATGAGTGGGAGAGGCAGATTGGCTGTGCCCCCGGGGCCACCCATACAGAGCCAGGTCCCAGAGGGGCGTGGAGAGGAGCTGGCAGTGTCTAAGCCCCTTCAGAAGAACCCTGGGTTGGTAAGAGGGCCTTTTTGATTTCCCCTCCAAAGCACTGGCTGTGCTCTGCCTCTTTGCCTTCTTCTGCCTCTCTGTGTGTAGGAGTTGTATTTGTTATCATTTTGCCTTGTTTTTCTGAGATGAATGGTTGGGATTGTGGGATAGGGAGAGGACAGAACAGGATACAGCTGTTACGCTGCTTAACATTTCAATCACTCATCCGTTCACTCCGTCACTTGGCAGTATTTATTGAGCACCTACTCTGTGCCAGGCTCTGTGCTAGGGGCTAGAGATAGCATAAGAAGAGACAGGCCATGTTTCCTGCCCTCTAGTGGTTCATGGTTCACGAGGAAGACAGACCTGGAAATTTGTAGTTGTGCTAGGGCCTGTGAGCTACAATACAGCTGTGGCCTCTTGAATAGCTTATAATTGATTAATAAGATCACCCGCAAAAGCAAGAAGGAACTGGCTGGCCTCTCTCTCCCCAGCTCTCTGCTTCTCTACCAACTACACTCTTACTATGCGGAACATCATGGAGAGATTGCCATGATCCTAAATTTATCCCAGGTCAGGTAAACGTCACCGCTATAAGCACTGCTACAATAGAGTCTATTTCCACTTCCTATTAGGTGACCCATGTTATCATCCCAGCCTCAGAGGCTTCCTTCTTTGGACTCACTTGAGGAGTCATTATAAGTGGCCAGGAGGAGTAGAAACTTGGTGAATAGTTCCATCCCTTATAGAGAAATCCTTGTAACCAGACCCAAAGAGCAACATCCCTCAAGTACATCTGCTGGGAAGTAGCACTAGCTTTGTAACGTGGAGGCTGTCCTTGCACTGAGAGTCATTGAGATGGGATTTTACTCGGAGAATAATAGGGAACCCTTGTGATAGTTGATTGTGGAATGCTGTCCCTAAGCACTTGGGCTTGAGTCTGTGTGGGCCAGCTACTCTTACAGTGATCTGTGTACATTCACCGCCCCTTGCAGCTGTCTCCAAAAACTGAGTTTGTTCCTGGGATCTGGAAAGAGGAAGAATGATTGGATCAAAGGTGTCACGTCGGCTGATGCTGGGTAACCTGCTGTGTGGGCCCACGCTTGGCTTGGCCATCCTGACCCTTCCTCTCCTTCTGACCCCTCTGTTTAAGCGTGACTTTTTCCTGCCTTGGTTTGCCCAAGAAACTGGAAGGTCCCACAGTAATCATTTCTTTAAGCTAAGTCATGGAATGTGTGGGTTAAAATACAGGAGCTTATGGGAGTGGCAGCAAATGAAAAGTCACTACTACCCATTAACATTTTAGCTCAAATTAATGGCGTCTATTAGCTATTCAGGCTCTTCATCAGGCCCCGGGAAGTGCGTATTAATGAGGGAAAGAGGAACAGGAAGCTCTGCGGAGCCCTGAAGGGGCTCAGTCGGGTCACACCCAGTCATGGGGCGGCCCCTTCTCATCCCTGACACTGGCTAAGGGCGTGCTTCCCCTTCCAGGGTCCAACTTCAGGAATGGGGACCGCAACCCAGAGCTGAAACTCGGAGAAACTCAAAATTGCATGTACCATTTACACATCTAACTAAACTCCCTCCACCTCTCACCCCCAGATATATAGACTTTTCACCAGAACTACTTCTTAGGTGGTAATGAAGAATCCTTTTGGCAATCCTTTCACATGGGTACCACCTTCTTCATTTTACACTGGAGGAAACGGAGGCTCAAAAGAGGCTAAATTGCCCAAGATGTTTCACCTGGCAGAGAGGAACTTTTAATTCAGTTAGGCCTCCCCTGGGCCTCAGCAACTTCTGGGATCAGGTTGCCAAGGCCCCCTCCAGCACTCCAGGCAGCTCTAAATGGATTTGTAAGCTACCATTGCCTTTGATTCTTATGGTATCTTCTTAGTTCTGGGATGTCAGGATTCAAGGAACAAATTTATCTTCATTCCCTGAACACTCTTCATCATTGGAGAGACCATGATCATAAATCTCAATTTTTGTCTTTCCACATGAAAGAGCCTAGGCCTTTCAGTCAATCCAAACTTGTTTTAAAAACTCAATAATAAGTAATAATTTTCTCATTCAGAACTCATACCTGGTAACTATCACCCTTGACCTCTCTCCGAGAGAGAGAGAATTTTGACATTTTTAACATTTTAGAATGTTAACAACCTGCAAAGTGGTAATAACCTGACTTTTTCATCGCCTCTGAAGCAGAAGCTATGAACAGCTATCGGTGGGACAGGGTGGGTTGGGGGGTGTAAGGAAGTAGAATATCTTAATTGGAACAGACTAATAGGCTGTTGTGTTGCTGCACCTCCAATAGCTGAGAGAACCTGCCTTCCTTTCTGAAATTTACTCTAAATTTGAATGTTCTCAGAAATGCAACTTTTCACCCTTCAAAATCAGAATCGAGCCATAACAAGGAAAAGTAAACAGGCACATCTGCATTCCATCTGTAGCTTTTGTAAGTGGTAAAACTGTATATTAGCCAAAGAAAGGAAGGAAATATATCCAGGCAATTGCTGTAAATGTTTCTGGGATTATCAGCAGGAGATCTTGGAAGGGACTTGGGAATGTGCTCCCCAGAGAATTGGAGGTGTTAGCAGAGAGTGGGGAAATGGTTCAGTTTTGCTGGGATTTTTCTAACCCTTCAGACGGTATTAAAGGTAGTTTGAACCAAAGCATGAAGTCAGGTACCAGATGGCAAAGATAAACCTAAAAGAATGTCCTCACTTTGCTGTACATCTGAAACTAGCACAACTTTGTAAATCAACTATACTTCAATAAAAAAGGGTTTAACCAAAAAAAAAAAAAAAAAGGAATCATACAATTAAAAAAAAAAGCATCCATGATACCAGTCCTTTGTCAGATACACATATTAAAAATACTTTCTTACAGTCCAAAAAAAAGGTATGTCCTGTCTCTATTCTGACCAGTGCTTCAGCGAAATTATCACTGCGATCCTGGAATCAGCTTTCTCTGAGTCAGCTCACCCAACTTTGCTCAGAGTCCAGCATGACCCCTCACCTGCCACCACCCCTTGAGGCATCTGAGGAAGCTGGCCTGAGCCGGCCATCCCTGGCACCCAGTTCTGTGTCTCTTCTTTTAACCTCAGTTTGGATCATGGACCTCCATATTTTCAGAGCTGGAAGAGTGGGTAGAGACAGCTCCTGGCCACTCATTTACTTAAGTGTTGTTGCATCACCTGTCATGTGTCTGGAACTCTGCCAGAGGGCTGGGATGTAGTGGGGATCCGTAGGTACAGTTTCTGCTCTTCTGCAGCTTGGAGTCCTGGGGGATTTTACAGATGGAAAACCCTGGGACCCAGAGACAAAAAGACTTGACCACAGCCCCACTGCTAATTTCAGAACTGAGAACAGAATTCAGCTCTCCTGTCTTCTAGTTGAGTTCAGTGCTAACTCTCCTGCACATACCAATTTTATTTAGTTTTTCACGACATTTCAGTGAGATTGTAAATTCTCAAGGGGTGTGGACCTCTATTTCTCTTCTGGTCCCATGTTATCCATTATGGTAGAAACTAACTCAATACCTGTTCCAGCCATGGGCAATCTCAAGCCCCAACCATCACCTCACTGAAGGCAACGTTGAGAAGAGTTGATATAGTATTTCTACCATGTACAGACCATACATGAAATAATCTCAAGAACATAGGTAGGGGACTTCCCTGGTGGCGCAGTGGTTAAGAATCTGCCTGCC